AAAATTGGTTAAAAACTGAAGCCTCTATCACGTTAACAAGGTTTTCAGAGAAGGGAGGTAACTCCACACTAGATTTCGCTGTGCATTGAAATCAATGGGTTCGTCCTTACACGACATCAATGCTTTATGCCAGATTTGGACAGAATCAGTGAAAAACTGTAGCCTCTATCACATTAACAAGGTGTTGGAAAAAGTTCACTATCTATTGAATACCTTGTAAATTACAATATCGTGTAAAGTTATTCTCTAATAGGAAAACCAACGTTCAGTGTACACATAGGTGTGCACGTAAAACAACGCTCGACAACTGGAATTCGATAGAAGAGTAGGCCATAGTGCCGCTGTCCCGGCAAAGTTTCACTAATAGCATACTGTATGGCATGTGCCTGTCTTCATTAGCCCAGTCGGAGCAGAACAGTAGGACGTTAACCACCATTTCTTTTCATTTCAAAGCAACACATATTTCGAAGTTTGAAACTCTAATTGCACAACCCCAGTTATGCATTCAGTCTAATTAAAAAAATAAAAAATATAAAACATTCATATACCTGATTGATGTATCATCAGCATAGTCGTCAAACAATCAGAACTTCACCTGTTCTATATGTTGTAGGGGGTCCGCATAGGATATATTAACCACACTAAAAGATAAAACAAACACTAAATTAGACAATATTTAAAATATAACTTGAATTATTACTTTTATGTATTTCTTATCATATCATCTTATTTGTAATTTATATAAGCATAAAACAATAGCCAACAAATTTCACGCGAACGATTTCCCGGTTATGCAAATTGAAATATCAGTTACGCAGGGGCGGATCCAGGAATTTTTGCAGGAGGGGGTTTGCCAGGTTCCTGAGAAAATGTATTCCCCCCCCCCCCCTCGACTTAAAATTTTTGAGAAATACATGGTCTCTATCGTCATTTTGGCGTATATACATACACATTGATCTTTTCAAACAGAGAAATCCAACATCCTGTTTGACGTCAATTTTTATTATGAATTAATACGATGACATTGTGATTCAATTTTATTGATGCAAAGCATTAATTGTGATATCACATAATGTCTATATCATTATCTTGCACTTTGAGTGCCCATCCTGTCGCACCATCTGACGCTAAAGGATAAAGCACAATTATGACACTTTTCTCATAAAAAAAGGTTGTTTTACAAAAAATTTTATGTAGCTGAGCAGGGGGGGGGGGGGGCTCTGGATCCGCGCCTGTTACGTTAACAAATTTATTCACATTTTATAAATTTTTATACAGGATGACTTTGTGACAGGTCTAAATTACTAGTATTATAGATTTTAAATTAACCGTCAGCACAAACTCCATTCGTTCATGGTATTTCATTTCTGCACCTTACAGGTACTATCACTTTGACAGATCACGTATTTTGACATCACGTATTGACCAGTTACATGCAGGTGGATTTAGTAGAGATGCCATGTGACAATATAATCGATTTCAAAGTACTTTGGCGAGTTCAATAAATGCTCCGATTAGGGTAACCAATTTGAATTAGATGGACGTTAAAGATGAAAATTTGATTGAATGCAAATTACTGACTAATCAGTGGTCAATAAAAACGCCCTTTATATATATATGAGAACTGACCAACCCATATACTATACCCTACTACACCCAGCACAAGAAGTGGCTTTCCGACACGAACAAACCTAAACAGTCTACGGTACACCAAATATATATACTATAAAAATAATGAACCAATCCCAGGCCCGTAGCTAGCCAAAAAATGTTGGGGTGGGGGCATGGGCTTCTGGGGGGCCGATTGGGCTTCTGAATGGAGGGGGGGGGCGATGTACCTAGACATGACGGTCCATGGTTGCTCTCCCGCAAGAAAATTTTGGAAAATAGGGTTTGCAACAGAGGAGAGGGACTATGGAAATGACGGAAAATTTCAATTTTGTGGCTGAATTAGCGATATTGTGATATTTTGATATGAACAGTATAAAAATCTGAAGGACGAAATACGACTTTAGCGTACCTATTATCACGCCAGGTGCGGGCTTGAATCAGTCTTATTCCCATCGTGAATTTGATCTGGAAAATGACATTATGGGGCACCCATGCTTATATGGGCGTGGTGGTCGTTTGCTTCTTATTGCTTCCAATGGAAAGTGCGCCGATTATTTCCATGGCAGGGGGGAAACTGCCCCCCCCCCCCGACCCCCGCTAGCTATAAAGGGCCTGAATCCACATAACCAAATTCATAATACATGAACAAAACCAAGTCGTCATCAAGAAACTAATAATGAAATTTATAGCCTAACAATTATTGCTGAAATAGAAAATCGTTATAAAAGTAGATACAACCAATGAAAATCAAATCCAAACAGTATTCTCTAAAACCCAAACACCAGATTGCATCCAAGCAGGTGGTTTCAAAAATGATTTGTCCTAAATATTTAATGATGACTGAAGATATTCACAATTTGAAGGCTTTAATTTAAGATTGTGCTTCCTCAGCCGGGAAAATTGAACTCCCAAAAGACAAGGCTACCTGTTATCCTCTTCTGTCATTTCTGTTTGTCAATATCCACTTTTTAAATCTAACGATGAAAAATATTTTCATCCATTTAAAGAATCCAAAATTTCGTCTATACCAGGAAGAGCATAAGAATCACGAACAGTTTTCGAATGAAATTTTCTATAATCTACGCACAATCGTATAGACGCATCGTTCTTGCGTACAGAGAGAGAGAGAGAAAGAGAGAGAGAGAGATGGGGTTTAATGTCCACTGGCTCCACCGTGTGCTTTTATGATTTAGGCTATGTTCTGTTTATTAAAGGAGGTAAATCGCTAATATTGCGACCTAGAAATTGACACAACTGGGTCGCAATGCATATAATAATGTAATATGAATGTATATAAACTGATTTACATTCAGTCGTGTCCATTTTTACGGTAGTCTAATTTCAAAACAGTTATGTTCGGCGAAATAAGCGAGAAGTCTCAATCGAATGGCAATCTCTAGCGTTTGGTTATTCCAGTCTACACCGGTTATATTTATTGCGCATGCTCTCCAGATAAAGAGAGGGGGAGAGAGATATGGGGTTTAACTTCCACTCGACACAAGCTATGGGTAGGGGTAGGGGTCTTTAGCACTGGGAGGAAACCGGAGGACCTGGAGAAAACACACAAGGTTGGGCAGGCGACCCTACTCGTTGCCACGTACTACCGGGGAATCGAAACCACGCCATTTGACTCAATGACAGACCTTGTGATACAGCGGGCACGTGATAACCATTCTTAAACCTAACCCTGGACCTAGCCCCAATGCTTACCCTAACCTACAATCTCGCCAACAATCACGTGTCCTAACCTTATTTACATATTAGCGAACTTGACGAAAGTTTAGCTTGCCTTTACAAATATATTCAGCCTTTGACAGACATGACGTGTGGAATATGTCTAGCCTCGTCCTTCGAGTCCCTTGTTAAAAATGGCGCTGAAACGCATTTTGGTACACTATTCGTGTACCAATGGTAAAATGTTTATTTTGTCTTAAATATTGGATATCAGAAGCCTATCTTTTACCGGTAAGATCATAACATCAATGTTGATTGAAATTGACAAATAATTCGTGTTTTCAATGTGGAAGACTGTGGATGGTATTAAGTTAAAGACTTAGCTACTATAAAGTAGACTTTCATTTTTAAAAAATAAAAAAAAATAATTACAGATATTACAATTGGTTAAAGTTAGCCTCTTCAAGATGGCATATTAATAAAATATATAGTTTAATGGTGGAGTACGAGACATTGAGTAAATATATTGCTATATCTATATATTATACAATGTCTCGCAATCGACCATTATACAACTTTTAAAATACGGATATGACGCCATGTTTTGATGTTGGCGTACCATGATTTCAAATAATAGTACGGGCAATGTGCCAATCGTACATTATTTATACTAGTTGAAATATTGGACTCGCGTGACGTATTTCATTGAAAAGCACGTGCGGATTAGTATTTGTATTTGAAGTTGTTTAATGGTCTCAAACAAATTGCGTAATATATTGAAACAACACTCGGCTAACGCCTCGTGCAGTTTCAATATTACTTAATATCCCGCTCTCGACCATTAAACCAAACAAAATACAGACACTATCCAGCATGTGCATTGCAATGAAATACGTCACGCGGATCCAATATTTCAACTAGTATAAATAATGTACGCTTGCCACATTGCCCGTACTATTATTTGAAATCATGGTACGCCAACATCAAAGGGTGACGTCACATCTGTATTTAAAAAAAAATAATGATATGTTCTCTTGAAGCGTCCAACATCACTAGCCCAAGTCCTCTTGAAGCAGCCAACATCACTAGCCCAAGTCCTCTTGAAGTGGCTAACTTCAGTTAAATTGGGTGATTATTTTTAAACTTAAGTCATTCACGAGAAACTTTTCAGGTAATTATTGGCCAGATTTAATTATTAATCGACTATCAAATAATTTTTCGCAAATTGGAAGCAATTTTTATTATAGGATCCGACGAAGCTCGTTATCTTATTAGATTCTACCCCCCCCCCCCCCCTCCAAGACTTTGATCTACGAACTGATTTGCAGTTCATTATTGGTGAATAACTTACCATTAACTAGTTTGTAGTTCGTTATTAACGAACTACGAACTACTGGCGAGTAACGAACCACTTAGTTTGTATAGTTTATTATTCACCAGATATTATTATTATTATTATTATTATTACAGCATATTTATATAGAATTACTAATTTAATAAATGTGCTTTTATGGGGAATACGACGGAAAGGGTGATGGAAGGGTGATCGAAGTATCTGGATAAAAAATATTTCATATTAGCGCTATAAATAGTATAAAATAGATTGATCGGGCACCTGTTGGATTGAATCCCAACACTGATGCAGGGGAGACAAGTCCATTTAGATAAAATGTTGTCACGTGGGAAATATCATGTGACTTTCTTAGTAACGGAAGTGGCAACGGTAAGCAGTATGGCGGCCAACTATCTTGATTTGTAAACAAGTTGAGAAATTCGGCAAAAAATAACGGGATTTCGGGCACATCTGCACATGGTAAACCGCTAGGTTTTGTCCACAGATATTTGACATCACTACTGATAGCTAAATGTAAATATGGCGGCCGTAGGGATGCAGCCAGATGTCTTGACAAGGTCTCAAACGACACTTACAGTCGATAAACCAAGAATTCCTTTGGTTGCCCACATAATAACTGATGATGACATTGGCATGTTACAGGTAAATGACTGAAACATATTATCACTTCTATTTAATTATTTTGTATTTGTTGATATGATATGGTAGCTGGAAAAACTAAAAAAAAAATCATCTTTGTTATAACCTGAATTCCTTTAGTAGATCTCGATCTAATTACTAAATTATAAACAGATAATGGGTGACAATGTCATTTAACATAATGTCAATAGACTTTACTGAACAGCAACAAAGCAATTAAAAACTACAGTGTTTTAAAGGTGGGTCAGAATAGCATTCACAGATACTAATGATAATAATAATAGGCAAACCAGCTAACTAAAAGCTTAATTTTTTAATGACCGCATCCGTTAGACTGTGTGAGTTAATTACGCATTTCACCCAAAAAGATAGCTGTATCTTCCATTTTAAGCCAGAGAAGTGCATGAGAACCGCACACCACATAACACTCAACAAATAGAATCCACAAAAGGACAAACCAACAGAAAAAAACATCAAAATGATGACATCGCCTACAATCCATAGGCTTATATGGAAGTGACCCTCATAATAGTAATCAGTCATCAATTATTCTAGATAATTATAGATCTACTGCACTGCAGACATTAAGAAATGATTAAATTTTTACTTTAGATTTTGTTTTTTTATAGGGATCCAAGCTACAGCCCATTAATTTGGGTAGGGTCATCAAGTTACTCACAGATCCACATTCGGTAAGGTTATGTTGTTCTCTTTATTGAAATCTAATTAACAAGATAGAATTATAATGAACTGTCCCATATTGACTGGGTAATAACTCACTACATCTGGACTTTGTGTAAATTTTATTACCTATTCTATTAGTATTACTATTAAAAAATGCCTAGAATAGCAGTGGGCACAGTAAGCTGCTGACCATATCGACCAAGAGCGAATAAAAGGGTTAAGTTATTAAGAGCTGTTTTAGATTTACGGTCCACTAGCTTTATACAATTAAATGTTAAAATATTAATTACATGAATGTCAGTCTGTTTGGTATTGTTTTCTATTAAACAAGATCACCACATTGGCTTTATCTGTGGGCCTAAAATTTCAAATGCAAACTTTGCAAATCCAATCTGTAAGCTACATGTATATCAAATTAAGTTAAAAGAGTTGAATCTCTAATATTTGGGACCTAGAAATGGACACAAATGGGTTGCAGTGCATATAATACTCTAATTTCAAATCAGTTATGTTTGGCGAAATATGCCAGAAGTCTCAATCGAATGGCAATCTCTAGCATCTGGTTATTCCAGTCTACATAGTATTTGTTGCGCATGCTCTCCAGATAAGAATATGAGGTCACCGTTTGACATGACTTATGGAATATATCTAGCCTCGTTCTTTGAGCCCCTTGTTACAAATGGCGCAGAAACGCATTATGGTACACGATTCTTGTACCAATGGTAAACTGTTTATTTTGTCTTAAATATTGGATACTAGGAGCCTATTTTTCCCCGGTAAAATCTCAACATCAATCAATGTTGATTTAAATTGACAAATAATTTGTGTTTTCAATGTCAAAGACATTGGATGATATTGAGTTACAGACTTAGTTACTTTAAATCAGCAATTTTATTTCTTAATCTTATCCAAATCAGGACAACCTCTACTGTGAAGTTATGAAAATTTTTCAATTATTAATCATATAACATGTATTGTATAATTGCAGGCTATTTTATATGACAGACACGTTAATTCTCTACAGAGGTTAATCAGACATTATCAAAATGGATTTGTATCCTTTACAAACAAATATTTAAAAAATATGAAGAGTCCAGGGGAAGAACGATCTAAGTCACATTTTTGTCTTTTTGCATGAAAGCAAAAACAAACTTTTGGACGAGAATGCATAGCGCGCACACAACAACGAGTGGGTTTAATTACAACTTCAAAATGATGTTTAATACGAATCATAATTACCAGTACGACAACTGACTTCCACTTTTCAGCCAATTTAAGGTCAAATAGAGGGTACAATGTACGTATTTGTCCGGGAGGCCATGTCAGAAGGGCCTTGGTTCGATGTGACTCAGATCTTTTTTACCTGAAATTGATTGTTCCACATAAAGCTTATACAATTTGCAACCAGATGGCGCCATTAACTGGGGTTTGTTTAAAAAGTGACTTAGATCGTTCTTCCCCGGGGCTCTTCATATATATTATTCAGGTTATATGGAGATATTGAATTGAACACACCACTTGGTCTTTATAATACTGTGCTAGAGTCTGTTACTTTTGTGTCAGTTACATGTATACTGAAGGTTTTATAATAATTGAATATTAACTGGTAAATAAAAACTAGAGCTTAAAGGGCCAATCTCGATGATATTTTTTTTTTAGAATAAAATGGCTTTATTTTGTGTTAAAAGCCCTCAAAATCCTCTACTTTAGGACTCAATATACATGTACATGATACGTTTTCAAACAACTTAAACCCATCAGTCTTCATTTGGAAATGGAGGGGGGTTGGATGGCTGAATGGTTAGCATGCACGCGCTGTATCATAAAGTCTGTCATTGAGTCGACTGGCGTGGTTTCGAATCCCTAGTTGTACGTGGCAAGGAGTAGGGTCGCCTGTCCAACCTCGTGGGTTTTCTCCGGGTCCTCCGGTTTCCTCCCACTGCTAAAGACCCCTACACACAAGCGAATTATGTAAATAAAATTAAACCATGTTAATCCCGAAATGACCTAGTTTGTGTCGAGTGGACGCTAAACCCCATTTCTCTCTCTCTCATTTGGAAATGGAGACTGGTGTCCCAAGTGGTATTCTACTGTGTCTGGATAAAACCACGTGCACCCAATCTAGCGGTGTTTACGATCATGTTTTCTTTGTACATAGTTCATTTTACCCACCCTTATGGCTTTCCACCCCTTTGATGGTTTCCAAATGATTATCTCTGATTGTATGTATATTAATGTTTGTCTTTGTTCCATATTTTGTATATTTATCTTCATTGTACTATGGTTGTCATTCTTTAGAGACCTATAAAGGAACGGCAATAGATATAATCTTCCTTTATCCTTAACATGCATTCAGCCTATGAAAGATTTGGTTCAAGTATTTAAATTATTAAATGTTTGTGCTGATCGTGTAGACCAACAACCACTGTATGAATCTCCTATTATAGAGATTCTCAACATCTGTAGTTTACCTTATCTTAAAGAAAAAACATCTGATGAAATAGTTTATGAACAGATTGTTATCGAGTCTATTTCTCAACTAGGTATGTAACATAAAAATACTTTCATTTTCCATTCCTCACACTCTGTTTTATTTAAGAGTTTTAATTTTTCTGCTGCATCAAAAATTTAGATTTTCATGTAGATTACAAATTTTACAGAATCCTTGATTCAATTTAAGCCTTGATACTAAATTATGAATTTTAGGCCATGATTAATACTAAATTATGAACTTTAAGCCTTGATACTTAATTGTGGACTTTGGGTCTGGATTCTAAATTTTTGATTAAAAAGCCATTTTGGTTGCTCACTTTACCACAATTTTAAGATTTCGTTATCTGAAAATTACAATTGTCAAGTGTAGTGAAGACAAGCAAAATGAAATTTTGAACTATAAAAACGAAACGAAATAGGATCTGTGTTTTAATCAGATTGCTCACATTGTAAGATTTCGTTATCTGAAAATTTGATTTGTCGTTAGTGGTTAATGCATACCAAATAAGACTGTTTGTATTATCTTAACTGTGAATTTTGTGTTTGATATTATTATTGAATTTCAGGTTATTTAATGAGAGTACCGAGTAACAATGTGAGGAAAACCATCTGTCAGACATTGATGTCATTTTATTCTGAAGAACAAACCAAACAAAAAGTACAAAGTAAGTTATAGTGTGAATAATAACACAATTTTATGGATTTAATACAAGATACCTTTAAAGATATTGTACTAGTGTACTCTTGTCCATATTCATAGACAATCCGATATCTTTATTCACATCTTTGGGTTATATACTATTCAAAAAAAGTAGGGGATATTTGATTTTTAAGTGTTATTAAAGTCACCTAATGAAACTGACGAAGAAACAAATGACAAAATGAAATGAAGTTCACATTCATCGATTTATTCCAAATGATCGTTAGACTAAGTAAGGCACAGACTGACCATTATAAGGGTAAAATGATACCCGGGGTCAAACAGCAAAGTTACCACAGCATCACAACCAAGTCAGTAACGGGTAAATCCTCCTCTGTTTGCCAAACAAGCATTGATCCGACGTGGCATACTCCTAATGAGACGTCTAAGGTCATTTTGGTCCAGATTGTCCCATTCCTGTTGCAACGCAGCAGCAAGTTCTTGGACATTGGCAGGACGTTGTTGACGTTGACGTAACCTCTGTCCAAGCATGTCCCAGACATGCTCGATGGGGGAGAGGTCGGGACTCAGTGCTGGCCAAGGTAATGTGGTGATGTTCTGTTGTTGGAGCTAACCTGTAACGATCCTGGCCCTGTGTCATCTTGCGTTGTCATCCTGGAAGATGAAACGGCGGCCATGACGTCGTGCGAACGGGACAACTTGGACTTCCAAGATGTTGTCCCGGTAGTACTGGCCTGTAACACGCCCTGCAACAACATGTAAAGCCGTTCTTCCAGCAACAGTGATGCCTCCCCACACCAAAACAGAACCACCCCCAAATCGATCATGTCTGATGACGTTAACGTCTTGGAAGCGCTCGTTTCGACGACGCCACACCCTCCTACGTCTGTCCAAAAAATCAACAGTGAACCTTGACTCATCTGAAAACATCACATTGCTCCAGCGTCGATTATCCCAGTGTTGACGATCCCTACACCAACGACGTCTTGCCTGAATGTGATGATCTCTCAAACAAGGTGACCCCTATGCAGTCGATTCCGAATCGTCTGGCCACTCACTCTCACACCAGTGTCTGTTTGAAGACGAGCGCTGATCTGATTTGCTGTGATGACACGATTTCTCAAGGCCAAGGTACGGATAAATCCATCCTGGGCTTGAGTTGTCGCCCTTGGTCGACCTGAGCGTGGTCTGTCCTGTACAGATTGTGTATCACGGTATCTGGACCATAGCATGCTTATGACAGACAGAGAAACATTCATCGTCCGCGCCACAACCGCCTGTGTTGTGCCGATCTGTAGCATGCCAAGGGCACGTAACCTTTCATTTTGGGTAAGCCGACGCATATCAAAATTTGTTTTCTGGTCACTTAAACAATTAAACTGATGTTTCCACCCTGGAATTCAATGCCACAATGACTGTAACATTCAAAGTCAGAGTCGTGCAAATTTTGGGTTGGACCCCCATGATGATCCCAAGCATCACCTGCATTCCATGCGGTAGCTATTGGTGCGTTTGGGCGTCACATGTAACTGGAAATGTTTCTTCTGTTAGGTTCTATAGTGACTTTTTTCGTAGTCATTTGCATATTTTAGTATTATGCCCCTAAAATCAAATATCCCCTACTTTTTTTGAATAGTATACTTAATATTTTGGTCTATGAACAAATTCTCAGTTCAGAGTGTAGCAATTTGACTGAAATTTTCAGCAAATACCATTTACTTTATCTAGTTTTGAACTTTTATAGTGAGAACTGTCAGCACTTTATCTATTCTCCCATAATGTATCTTTAATGTGTACATTGGTTTTATAAACAGTGTCACACCCTTATTCATGTGTATGGTTTAATATTTTGTTTACATCCGTGATTTCACACCACCAACTTTATGTATTATGTATATTGATGATAATTCTGCTAGATCTGGGTTTTTTTTTATCATTATACATTACTGTAATAACAGTAGTTTTGACTTTAAATTGGCACATGTGTTTGACTTTCGAAATTCATGTGAATGACTTGCCTTTAAGAATAAGATTAATGTGAATTTTGAAGAAGTATTTTTTTGTATGTTTATTTATAGAACATAAAGCCAGTACCAAAGCATACAATCAGCGTGTGATAGAAAATAGTGATGTCTCTGAAACATTAATAAAGGTTAAAATCTTTTGAAATTAATAAATATATACATGTACATCAAAATTTAGCCCTGACTATGTCATTTTAAGACTAAAATATGGTTGGTATATCTTTATTTCAATAACCCACAAGATTAGTAGGCAGATGACTCTACTCCTCCTTGCATATGCTACCTCAACATTGCCAGACCTTATGATTCATCCATATTTCCTTATATGTAGGGGTCTCTATCAGTGGAAGGAAACTAGAGAACCCTGAAAAAAATGGTTAGGTCTATTTGATAAGGCCAACTTCAAGTTTGGTCAAAGGTGACCAGATGTGAAGTGTGCTAGCACTAATCCATACCCTAACCCAAGATCTAGCCACAATGCTTACGCTAACCCTAACCTACAATCTCGCCAACAATCACGTGCCGGAACCTTATTTACATCTCAACAACCTTGAGCTGGCCTTAACAAATAGATTTAGCCTAAAAAAAACACACAATAGTAGGCAAACAACTCCCTACTCCTTGTTACGTACTGACGTATAGTATCAAAACCACAACTATGACAGACCTTATAATTTACCAATGTTCGTGCATGAAGTGGGTAAGGCGCTGGCTCGCTAGTCTGGAGGTTGCATGTTTGATACCTACATTGGCCAAGAAAGTTCATCAGGATTTTCTGGCACGGTTTCCCCTTGCCAGTGGTGCCTGACAAGGACAGCTGTCTAGTTGTTTGGATGGGACAGAAAACTGAGGACCTGTGTATACATTGGCGAGCACGTTAAAGATCCCTTGGCAGTTGGAATTCGATATGAGTGCCGCTGCCCAAGCAAAATTTCCCTCACAGCACACTGTATTGCATATGCCCGTTTTCATTAGCCCAGTAGGAGCAGACCAGTAGGAGTTTTAACCCCATTTCATTTCATACTATTTAGGCTTTCTATAAATGCAATTCTACTATTTCGTAACATGTTTTAATATTTGACATCCAGTCTCTGGCTTTAATGGAGAATGATGGAGATGTGAGACTAATGGTACTAGATGTTCTACAGAAATTGTCCAAGGGATCAGGTAGGCTTGTGACAAACACGTACTATACAGAGTATACCATAATAACATAAAGAGGGAGAGAGAAAAATGGGATTTAATGTCTACTCGACGCAGACTAGGTCATTTTGGGACTCACATGGTTTGATTTTATTTCAATAATAGGCTTGTGTGTATGGGTCTTTAGTGTTGGTAGGAAACCGGAGGACCTGGAGAAAACCCACAATGTTAGACAGACAACCCTACTCACCTTGTCATGTACAAGCGGGGAATCCAACCTTATGATCCAACGCTATTCTTACTTGGTATTTATTTTCTAGAGAAGACTTGTAATCAGATGTTATTAGCCGACGGTGCTCGGAGAATCTGTTCACGATTAATGGACCCTGGTCCGAGTGGACATCTGCTGTTCCAATCTGTAGAAATAATGTGGAATTTATTAGAGAATGGAGACAGAGAGAATTTAGCTGCTCAATTAAACAACGTTGTTTGTATCAGGTAAGGGAGATGTTAATTGTAGGCTGGTTGGGGAGATTCGGGTATTTCCGGAGCCCACAATGGCTGCTTTATATAAATGAGTATTTGGGGGAATACTAATCTATACCCTAACCCTTTTAAAATGGGTAAAAGGTAAATAGAATCCAAGTTCAGTCTTCTAAAAAGGGTTAGGGGTAGACCTAATATTCCCCAAAATTCTCAAGTGTAGTGGAAAGTGTAGTGGAAAAAAAAGTAACTTTTCTCTCACAATGTAGTAATTTAAATATTGTAAATATTTTTATTTTCTAGTCAGTTACGTGATGCATTTGTTTATCAGCTGACCCAAGGTTACAGTCATTATGATCGACAGTTACGAAATGATTTAATCACCATAGCAACCCTTGTTGTCACTCGATGTCCTGATTCACCTTTTGTAGAATGTGGCTTTGCTCGACAGTTGGTTTTATTTGGAACATTTCAAGAAGGTAGGGTTTTTATAACTTTTTAATTTGTGTTTTAAAGATGGGTTCCTGCGTACGAACTGATTGATTTAATGGTATATATGGACCAAAAACATATTCAAACTAATTAATTTGTCATAATTATGCTTCAAATCCTTCTCAAACATTATAATTGCGAAGGAATGCCCTGCTATTAAAATTCGATCAAACCAGGTCATGGTTACGTCATGTCTTGGGAGTCAGAGGAGAATTCATTGCATACATAAGACGATGTTGTCTTTAATCGCTTACTATTTATTACAAATATCGAATCCTAATTAAATTCTCCGATTATCCACTACCCGCGTCGTTTTCCGTCATATTTATCTCAGAAAGTATTGTGCATCTAACTCTTAATAAAGTTTATCAACTTGTACATCAAGCGCTCAATGTTCGCTCGTGGCCTTTGACATCACGTTCCTAATCGTCGGGCTGTTGATTAGGGGAACCCTTACATTTTTGTCCTGTATACGCTCCATGAGTGTTTTTCGGGTAATCCAGTATTTTTCTAGTAAGATTGGATATCTCTGCTTTCCATATATACCAAAATTGCCATACTTTTATTGGAAATAACCACCCGATAAATACTTTTCTGGGAACCCATCTTTAAGTTACTAAGATATTGTTAAGATCATTATATAAGTACATGAAGCAACGACTGCAAGTTTTATGACATCTGGATGTTGCTAAATTACTTTACAATTCCCGAACTTATAACTACTTTATCTGCAGACACGTGAACAGTAGCGTATAATCAGAGGTTGTGGCATAATGACCTCCACCGAAACCTTGACATTGAACCAACCTTGATCGTTGCAACTCAATTATCACAGGTAGACATTTTAGTTTGAAGTGTGAGACTTGGTATTCACGATGATCTAAGAATCTGATAGGCTCCCAAGCTGTGTGAATACCCAATTGAAATTAGTGCCGAAATATGCCAGGTATTACGTGAAGGCCTTGATAAGATGTATGTAGTTAAAGCGAGATCAAGCCTTCTATTGAAGATGTAGACTGCATTACAGGCTATTCAGTCAGTTAATGAACTGACAGTAAAACTTTTATCCAGATTAATATTTGTTGTAGTCTCATAGGAAAATATTGAGACTGGGGCGATCAAGACAAGATTGTTACTTAGTGTTTATCATGTCATAGGAAATGAGATCTTCAATTATTTTGATTTTAAAAAAAATCCATCAGAAATTGAAATCTATGTATGTACCGGTATGTTTCAGTAAAGAGTCACAATGCATTGGTTAAACATCTAAAACTGATGACGAATCAGGAAGATTTTGAGTTAAAGAAACTGTTGATGAATATATTGGTCAAGATGGCCACAGACAGCACCATGATTCCTGTAAGTTGTCCTGTATTTAACATTTAGTGGTGGGTGTCAGATGCTTACTCTTTGATGGACATTTTATATAATTTCACTTGCCATTATGGGATTGTGTTCATTGGGTCATAAGGAAGAAGCCTATTGGTGTGAGGCATTTACCCCTTTATGAACACCTGGTTTTACTTTCTCATGGATGACTTTAGTATATGACACGCCCCTGTTTAGTTCTTCATACTTGACAACATATATAGAAAAATAGTATTAAAAACAAATTTGGAATTGAGTTTCATCCATTGTGCTTTAACTCTTAAAACTTATAATTAAGATAAAGGACAGACGTCATATGATCTTGTCAGTGGTGCAGAACGGAGGGCCTGACAAGGACAGCTGTCTAGTCTTTCGGATGAGACGAAAAACCGAGGTCCCGTGTATACATTAGAATGCACGTTAAAGATCCCTTGGCAGATGGAATTTGATATAAGAGTAGGTGATAGTGCCGCTGCCCCGGGCAAAATTTCCCTCATAGCACACTGTATGGCGTATGCCCTTCTTCATTAGCCCAGTATGGGAGCAGAACAATAGGACGTTAAACCCCATTTCATTTAATTTCATTTCATATGATCTTAGCTAGTCATTCGGATGGGACCAAAAACCATGGTCTCAAGCACACATTGACATGCACGTAAAAAATCCCTTGACAGTTGGAATTCGATATAAGAGTAGGCCATAGTGCTGCTGTCCGGGCAAAATTTCCCTCATAGCACACTGTATGGCGTATGCCCGTCTTCATTAGCACAGTTCGAAGCAAAACAGTAGGACGTTAAACCCCATTTCATTTCATATGATCTTAGAGCTAGCACGACTTTACTGCTGGTGTTGATACTAGGAACTGGCCACTCCCTTGCTTGATTACAGTTGGTGGTCATACTATAGGAACTTGGCACTCCCTTGCTTGATTACACTTGGTGGTGATACAATAGGAACTTGGCACTCCCTTGCTTGATTACACTTGGTGGCGATACTATGGAGAGGACAGTCTCCTGTCTATGATTCTAACTGATCATTTGCTCGATCACAGTTTATGTCTGGTTGAGGTAGGGACAGTTCTCTCTCTATATTTTAAATTGATGATTTATTTTGTTTTCTTTATTGATAACTTTGTTTGATTTCAGTTGATGTCTGAAGGTCATTTATTATTGGCGCTATTTTCCTATGTTAGAAATAATGAGAAAAGCGTGACCCCCAGAGAATGGACGCCAGCACAGTTTGAAGAATTACAACTACATGCGTTAAGTTGTTTGACTAGTCTGTGTCCTGTCATGATTGAAGATTATATGACCTGTCAGGGAAACACAAGACTACTTCTATTATTAGAATGGTGTGTTGGACCAGGTGAGTTTTGCTGTTAAAGATTTGCAGAGAAGTAGAACGTTAATAAGACCCATTTTATATCGCGACTGACATTAATACTTGACATGTTTTTAGCTTCTCTGTTGACACGGGTCGAGAGTAAGTCAAGGTGTAGCGTTGCCTGCCTAACCTCATGGGTTTCCCCGGAGTCCCAAAATGAGCTCGTTAGTTAGTATTATGTGGATGTTAAACATCATTTGTCGACTTTGATGTGAATAAAGGAAAGTGCTTGTTTTGGAATTCATATCAAAGTTTATCAACATTCATGTTCTAATTAAGAATGCTATACTTATTCAGTCAATACCCAGTTGTGTTACACTATTCATTTATTTCTTTCCAGATGAATTTTCTGGTCAAGGAAATAGTTTCCATGGTACTGGTGGTCGTGGTAACAAGAAATCTCAGATGAGTCAATGTTTACGATTATTACGTAGTGTGGTGTCTACAGAAGATGAGTTGGTGTTACAGGATATGGCAGATCAGGGGGCCATTAATCAGTTAATAGGTAGGTTTTATTTAACAATCTCTTTATAAGAAGGGTTGGGGTTGGGACCGAATGGTCTAATGTGTGAGATGACAAGGTCTGTCATTGAATTATGTAGCGTAGTTTTGATCCCACACTGGTACGTGACAAGGCGTAGGGTCGTCTGTCCAACCTCGTGGGTTTCCTATGGGTCCTCTGGTTTCCTCCCTCTATTAAAGATCCTTATGCAGATTTTGAGTTATTGAAATAAAATTGAACCATGTTACTCCCAAAATGATCTAGTTTGTTTGGGTGGATGTTAAAACCCATTTGTCTCTTTCTCTCTTTATCATTTCCTTATGCGAGGTGCCACCGTGAATAAGTGGGTAAAACGCTGGCTCGCTAGTCTGGAGATCGTGGGTTTGATCCCGTTGTTGGCCGAGAAAGTTCATCAGGATTTTCCGACATGGTTTCCCCTTGTCAGTGGTGCAGGATAGAAGGGCCTAACAGAGACAGCTGTCCAGTCGTTCAGATGGTCCGGAAAACCAAGGTCCTATGTACACATTCGTGTGCACGTAAAAGACCCCCCATGGCAGTTAGAATTCGATAGAAGAGTAGGCCTTAGTACGGCTATTTGGACACAATTTCCCTCATAGCACACTATATGGCCCGTCTTCATTAGCCCAGTCGGAGCAGAACAGTAGGACATTAAACCCTATTTCATTTTCATTTTGTTATGGAATTGGGTGTTCTATATATGTCTATGGAATTGGGTGTTCTATATATGTCTATGGAATTGGGTGTTCTATATATGTCTATTATATAACGAAGGATTGACCTCAAATTCCATTTAAAACATATTTGTCAATTGTATGGAGATTTGAGGAGTAGTGGGGTATGGTTGTGGCAAAACTATCTAATTCGACACACATTAGCTTTAAATAAATTAGAAATATTTTAATCTCTAGAGTAGACAAGTCATAATTTTTGTTTATGTTTTCAGGAATTTTAAAAACAGCATTTACGTCATCCCCTCTAGAGAATCATATGTTTATTGATATCGAGATGCAGACAGATATTTTGATTATTTTATCGTCATTATGTGAAGGTGACATACATCGTAAGGTTAGAATTATTTTATTCAATTTTGAAATTCGCATTGAAAAGCTGATAACTCTCATAGTTTGAAATAAAAAAATATGTATAAATGAACTGGTCAAATTTTGGCATAAAACAGTTGCCACCAGTTTTTTGAGTAGCTTATAGATATAAGAAACCATCTACCCTTGCCATTCTTTGCACCGTCTGTTTGCCCAACTGGGTTTGTATTGAAAACTGCTAGATGTTTTATAAGAGATAGACTTTAATGTAGTATGCCCGTCTTTATTAGCCCAGTCGGGGCAGAAAAGTAGGCCATTGAAATTCTTCTTCTTCTTCTTTTTTTATTATTATGTAACACATTCGATGTATCAATCTGGTTAAAACACAGATCCTATTTCCTTTCGTTTTTTTATAGTTCAAAATTTTGTTTTACTTGTCTTTACTACACTAGGATCTGGAAGAGTTGATATATAATACGCGTTCCTATTGATGTTAGGCATTAGCCAATGAAACAGTCTGTTACTGTGAGTTTTTGGCATGAGTTGCATGGAACTGCGGGTAAGCTACTAGAGACATCTTCGCTGATTGGTTAATCAAATGTCTAACGTCGTCGTAGAGTCAAAAGACGCTCGTATGACCTCCCACTACAACTGGTTGGATCTTCATGTAGTAGAGGCCATCGAAAGTATAAAAGAAACGAAAAGGAAATATAAATGTATATTTTAATCAGATTGATGTTGTATTAATATGACTAACAATATTTCTACTTTTGTTTTTCAGGAATTGTTTGGTCGATCTGGTGTAGATATTGTTATAAATTATTTAAAAACTGATTCCCGTTTATTAAACAGTGGATTGGGTCATCATAGATTATTATTAGCGTCTGTTGATGCGGCTTGGTAAGTTAACATATTTGAATTATTACAATACTAGCAGGATACCCGGCTTTGCTCGGGGGTCATAACTCCGAAATTGGAAGTGGTAGACTAACGCCACCTGGCCTATGTTACTCCCCGGTCCAAGCTACTCCTATACCCCAAATTTCAGACTCGGGGCAGACCTAGTGTAGCCGACAACCCCGAACAGACCGGCTTCGCTCGGGGGTCATAACTCCGAAACCGGAAGTGGTAGACTTACGCCACCTGGCCTATGTTACTCCCTGGTCCAAGCTACTCCTATACCCCAAATTTCAGACTCGGGGCAGACCTAGTGTAGCCGCCAACCCCGAACAGACCGGCTTCGCTCGGGGGTCATAACTCCGAAACCGGAAGTGGTAGACTAACGCCACCTGGCCTATGTTACTCCCAGGTACAAGCTACCCCTATACCCCAAATTTCAGACTCGGGGCAGACCTAGTGTAGCCGCCAACCCCGAACAGACAGACAGACCGATACCCGGCTTCGTTCGGGGGTCATAACTCCGAAACCGGAAGTGGTAGACTAACGCCACCTGGCCTATGTTACTCCCCGGTACGAGATACCCCTATACCTCAAATTTCAGACTCGGGGCAGACCTAGTGTAGCCGCCAACCCCGAACAGACCGGCTTCGCTCGGGGGTCATAACTTTGAAACCGGAAGTGGTAGACTAACGCCACCTGGCCTATGTTACTCCCCGGTCCGAGCTACCCCTATACCCCAAATTTCAGATTCGGGGCAGACCTAGTGTAGCCGCCAACCCCGAACAGACAGACAGACAGACAAACGACAGTCACAAATATATATATAGATGACTCAAATCATTAAATTATGGCTAGTACTATATATCAGCAAACATAACATATTGTAGGTTATGGCTAACCTTTTTTCTGGTTTCATATTATATTTTTGACATTTATTCACATAAAAAGCCCATAATCAATTCCCTATAACATGGGATGGCTTGGATATTAAGTGAATTAGACCATCAGTTAATGTTAAAATGGAAACTCGAGACTTTCTTTATTATGGTAGCAAGGACATTCGAGAATTTGCTATTCTTGTCAAAACATTCATCATAATTTTGAACAGAATAAAGTAATTTGACTGAAATTTTTAAATATATATTTATTTTTTTATGATTTATTTTTTAACTATTATAGCAAGAATGACCAGCACTTTTATCTAAATTTTAAATAAATGAACAGAATTCATGATCATGATTGTATAAATTGTCATTACATCATCATTAGAATATTTGTAATCATGGAAGTCATCACAATTTCATTACATTGTTATTAATCATCATTAATCATTACGTTTGTCATCACTAATCATTACATTATCATCATTAATCGTTACATGGTTATCAATCATTATTACATGGTTAGCAATCATTGCATTATCATCATTACATTGCCATCATTACATGGTCATTAACCATAATTACATGGTTATCAATCATTATTACATGTCATCATTACATGGTCATTAGGGGGGTTGGATGGCCGAATGGTAAGCACGCGCGCTGTATCAAAAGTCCTGTCATTGAGTCAACTGGCATGGTTTCTAATCCCCGGTTGTACGTGACAAGGAGTAGGGTCACCTGTCCAACCTCGTGGGTTTTCTCCGGGTCCTCCGGTTTCCTCCCACTGCTAATGACCCCTATGCGCAAGCAAATTATTGAAATAAATTATAACCATATGTTAGTCCTGAAATGACCTAGTTTGTGTCAAGTGGGCGTTAAACCCCATTTCTCTTTCTCATATGGTCATTAATCATAATGACATGGTTATCAATCATCAATACATTGTCACCAGCCCTCATTACACTGTCACTACCCCAATCTCATAAGTTACCATGACAACCACCTTCTCATTATCATCGTCAATTACAAACAGAATTTGATCTATCATTACAGTTTTACCAATCATCATCATCGTGATCAATCATCATCTCGAACAGTTGATATCTACAGTTTCATCTACACAACATTATCATTAGTCCCCATCAGTCATTGTCATCATTTTCACCTTTTCCGTTTATTGATTGATATATTTCAGGTGTGCTATTGTTGGTTGTTTTTTAACAGAAGATTATTTTCTAGAGAGAAGTGGAGTGTTTTTATTGTTTGATTTGTTAGAGGTTAGTCCATTAATATTCATAATCTACAATCATTAGAAACATGCTAATTGGGTCTTTATATTATAAGTGGTATCTGAAAACAATGTACAATTTTTAATACTGAGCATATTTATTGGGTCTTTATTACTGTTAGTATAAAGAAACAGTGTATAATTTAATACTCAGTCTTTATTACTGTTGTTAGTACAAAATTGATGTATAATTTAATACTTGGTCTTTATTACTGTTAGTACAAAATCGATGTATAATTTAATACTGGGTCTTTATTCCATTTAGTACAAAATCGATGTATAATATTTTAATACTGTTACTATCAAAAACAGTATATAATTTCATACTGAGTCTTTATTACTGTTAGTATCAAAAAAAGTGTATAATTTCGTACTGAGTCTTTATTACTGTTAGTACAAAAACAATGTATAATTTCATAATGGGGTATTTATTGGGTCTTTATCACTGTTAGTACCAATGTATAATTTAAATACTGAGGATGTTTATATTACAGTTAGTACCTAAATCAATGTATAACTTAATACTTGGATGTTTATTGGATCTTTGTGAAAATCCTAAAACTATGAACCATGTTTTAACGTGGAGAGGAAAAGATAACTCAACAGCAGCTCATCTATTATGTCATATCTGGAGAAATGAAGACCTGGATGTTGGAGCATTAAGAGAATCTACGGGAGCAATTGCAGGTATTGGAATGAAATGAAATGAAATGAAATGGGGTTTAACGTCCTACTGTTCTGCTCCTATGCTGGGCTAATGAAGACGGGCATACGCCATACAGTGTGTTATGAGGGAAATTTTGCCCGGGCAGCGGCACTATCGCCTACTCTTATATCGAATTCCAACTGCCAAGGGATCTTTTACGTGCATTCCAATATATACATGGGGCCTCTGTTTTTCGTTTCATCCAAAGGACTAGACAGCTGTCCTTGTCAGGCCCTCCGTCCTGCATCACTGACAAGGGGGAACCACGCCGGAAAATCTGGATGAACTTTCTCGGCCAATGCAGGGATCGAAAGGTATTGGAATAATTATGATGTGTGTTGATTCATGAGAGGAATTTACAAAATAATTTATTTAAACAAAATTTAAACTGTTCTCAAGTTATTTATTGAAATAAGATTGAATCATTATTATGTTAGTCCCGAAATGATCTAGTTCAAATCCTATTTCCTCGTGTCGCCTTTAAAAAGCAAAGGCCATGGTCTGCTGCTTGATTACCCATACAAAACTTACACTAGTACAAGAAAGTACGGTATTTGCCAGTTACTCAAATGAAAAATGGTTTGGATGTAATTTTTTGTGCATATTTTTTTTAAAAAAGAATATTGTTTCCAAGAAAGTGAAATCATTTATTGTTATCCATTTTCAGATACTAAGAAACCATTGATGGGTAAAATGCAGATGGAATCAGAAGTTATCCCCCTTCCTGCTAACTGTCCAAGTCAAGCTATTGTTGACGTATTTGAAAATCTGCGTGCTAAAATCTATTCCATTTTCTGTAAACTGGGTTTCTCTGACTTGCCTGGTTTATCTGTTGAAGATCATGTGACTCTTACAATAGTTGAAAAATACCTAGACTTTAAAATGGGTGAAGTGTGGATGGAAGTTATATCGGAACTGGAGGTGGAGAAAGTTCGACCCGTTACCCCTGATGAAGAAGCATTAGGAACAATTGTTAAAGTTATTGAAGAACGGTCGAATATCGTGGCAGCAACACAAGTAGAATTATTAGAAGCTGAATTAAATCAGGAGGCTTTAGATGAACAAGAATTTTATGCCGAGGTACAATTTTATAATTCATCAAAACAAGAGACATTTTATATAAATTTCATGTTTTGAATAATTTTGTAATCTATTATTATGACACATTCAAGGCCAAATTTTACTTGTGACATTAGCAATTGATATTGTTTTAATTTTGCTCTGTAGAATTAAATTTAGATCTACAGGTGATTTCACAATCGTAATTTTGAAGGAGGTAGTGGGGATTGTTGAAAAACCAAAAGTTTACTATATATAGCTGTCCCCAACTAAGCAAATACCCTATGATAAAAGCTTCCTTAGGCAATATGTTCGATAAAATGTTGTTCAAATTTCTTCAAGTCAGTTAATTTGAAATATTTTTGTATGTAAGGATTATAAACAATTGTGTGATGGGCTATAATGAAACCCTATCTAAATTTGGTCCACAATGTGGATGTAATGTTTAAAGGTGTATAAATTAGGTCCAGAGTGTGGATGTAGATTTCAACAGGGATTATATATTAGAAGAGAAACTAAAATCACAATTGAAATAAATTTATGTTGAAATTTTCATTTTATCATTCATTTGTTAATTTTTGTATAAATAAGAGTTTGTTACAAGCTTTTCTAATTATACACATGAAATGGAGTTATAGACTTTATGAAATTTAATTACTAAATTTTTTTTTTTTAGATTCGTGAAAATCATCGTCAGCAAGAAAATCAGATCCGCAATTTCTCAGAATTTGTGTCGAGGACATCAAACTTTGATATCTTGAAGGTAAGTATGATTTATATAATAAACCCGGTGGACAACTTGACACCTGGCCCCAAGTTCACAAAACATTCTCAGATTTAAGTTAAGAATTTACTCAACTTTCAATCACTGTTTATGAGAAATATCTTTGATCCAGAAACACAAAACTTTGCACTTCGTTTCTTATTGATGTATTTGATCATTAAAACAACCAAAGTTTTATAAAAGGCTGTATTTTAGTTAAAATAAGGTGAACAATTGTGAGTAAATTCTTAACTTAAGTCTGAGAATGCTTTGTGAACTTGGGGCCTGATTTTGTTAAAAAAAAAACCAACAACATTTCTGTGTATTTTGGGAGGAGATCTGGATGTAAAAACACTTTGTATGGAATTTGTGGTAGACAATTAAGCGAAGACAATACTGGGGTGATGCCTGGTGGTAAATTATTTTTACCTTGTTCTGCCAGCTGCTTATAGCAAATATGCTCTTCCTTTTTTTGATACCCATATGTCAAACATTATCCAGATGCACCTTTCAGGTCATATACTCAAATGTAAACAAACACACTTTTTATCAAGTGAAAATATTTGATTGAATGTGAAAGTAACCTAAAAAAAATTGTTTTACTTTACTGTGTGCTCATTCTAGGCTTTTTTTGTATAAGGGGTCCATGCCAGAAGTGCATATTTGATAGACATTGATCAAAGCGATATCATCATAAACCTACTGGGAAAAGGGACCTTACACTCAGTCTTTTCAACTGTTCTTGTAAACACACTTCACACTACTGTTTTCTTGGATTTTTCATTTTGTCATAAGAAATAACCTAGTTCAAGCTCAAAAAGTTTTTGATCTCAAATTTCATAGTACCTTAATCTCAATGCTATGAAACCAGATGAACACATACAGTACAAATTTTAATATTGTAAAACAAGATAAGATTGTTTATTAATGAAGACTTTTGGCAAGCGGATTTTTCCCATCCCTATCCCGTATCCGTATCGTATACGTGATACGTTGCATCAATGTAGTTTTAGAGTTTTGGCAGATTTTAGTAGTTTTTGGTTTCACTAGTGTATTATTTCAGAAAGTTTAGCCCGTAGATCAATCAGTATGCAGACAGGCGGGAAAAATATGAAAATTCCGAGAAAAACCCATCAAAAATAATGATTAAATTCCAGTCGTTATCACTGTTAAAATCACATCAAATATACACCTTCGTGTTCTAGGATACACACAGATTCATAAAAACGCTATGATGCAACATTTCAGCGTCTAAAAGTAGCAAAAAAGACGGGAAAAAGACGACAGTGTTATACGGACCATTTCCGTATGAAAGCCGTTCCATACGTGCTGCCGTATCCGTGTGCCGTATCACGTATGAGAAATACACAGACATTGATGACGTCACACGCAAAATCCATACGGATACGCGATGCGGACCAGGAAATTACGCTTGCCAAAAGTCTCTAATGTATATGGACGAACCCTATTGAACATTGAATCATATATTTAATAAAGCATTTGAATTGTGAACATTACACGACACAGAATTTTATGACCCGTGGAGCTGCAAGGAAGTTCAGTTCAAATTTGTTTTTAAAGTGTGGCATTAGAAAGAAACCTATCAATTTTTAAAATTTCCTGATTGTAATTTTTGTCCTCTTGTCTTTTCACATTTTGTTTCTTTTAATGCTTATGAACACAATTCCAAAAGAATTCTCAATTTGAATTCATTAAAACCTGTTTGGATTGTTCAAAGGGATATATGGAGGGATAAACAGATTATTTAAATGGTATATATAGAGAATCTCCTACCAGTCTTTTTTGATATCAAAAAATATCAACGAGTGTTGATATTTTTTGATATCAAAAAAGACGAGTAGGCTAGGAGATTTTATTTATCACCCAATCCCTTCTTACATGCACAAATAGATAAATATAATTCTTTGCTGTAGATTTAACTTTTACTGAACATTATGGCGTAGAGATACATCATTTTTTGACAGCAATTCAACCATTGCAAAGTCCTTTATATTGACCCAGTGTTTCCATCAAGGTCAATTGAATAACAATAGTTCATTTTTATACGCTCACATTTTCATGTTGACGTATTATGCCGTCGCCCCCGTCCGTCCGTCCACAAGTTTGTGGACTCTCTACAGGTCAAAATTCTTATCCGATTTCGACGAAACTTGAAATATAGGTTTATCCCCAAAAGATCTCGGCTGCTTTCGATATTGGCATGTATCGGATCGAAACTTCATGGATTATGGCCCCTGTTTGTACGAAAAATCACGTTTTTAGCTTGTGGACCCTATAGAGGTCACAATTTTTATCCAATTTTGTTGAAACCCAAAGATCTCAGTTCCTTTCGATATTTGCGCATATCGGACAGTAACTTCCTGAATTATGGCCCCTGATTGTACGAAAAATCACGTTTTTAGCTTGTGGACCCTATAGAAGTCATAATTTTTATCCGATTTAAAAAAACGTTCTATTATATCACCGTTACACCCTAAGGATGACTGAGATCTAATTTCGTGAAAATCGGCCCAAAATTGACAGACAAAATGGCCGCCATTCGATCGTTCCCAAATAGCGTAAGAATATGGTATATCAACTTTGTGGACCCTATAGGGGTCACAATTTTTATCCGATTTTGTTGAAAATTGAAATGTAAGTTTATAACCCAAAGATCTCGGTTCCTTTCGATATTCGCGCATATCGGACTGTAACTTCCTGAATTATGGCCCCTGATTGTACGAAAAATCGCGTTTTTAGCTTGTGGACCCTATAGAGGTCATAATTTTTATCCGATTTAAAAAAACGTATTATTATATCACCGTTACACCCTTAGGAAGGTTGAGTTCGAATTTCGTGAAAATCAGTCCAAAATTGACAGACAAAATGGCCGCCGTTCGTTCTCACATAGCGTAAGAAAATGGTATATCAAGGTTGTGGACCCTATAGAGGTCACAATTTTTTTCCGATTTTGTTGAAACTTGAAATGTAAGTCTATAACCCAAAGATCTCGGTTCCTTTCAATATTCGCGCATATCGGACCGTAATTTCCTGAATTATGGCCCCTGATTGTACAAAAAATCGCGTTTTTAGCTTGTGGACCCTATAGAGGTCATAATTTCTATCCGATTTAAAAAAACGTATTATTATATCACCATTACACCCTAAGGACGACT